AGCGGGGCTTCCGCAGGTCAGCCTGCAGCTGCGGGGCTCACGGGCAGATCCTAAGCTCAGCCTCTGAATCGCCAACTCCAGCCCTCGCGCACGGGCCTCTGAATCACCTGTCGTTCCCAGCCCACGGCGCTACATTCTTATTCCAGCTGAGGCCAAAGTTACAAGCGCCACATTTTTGTATCTTAAGATCACTCCACATTTCTTACGTAACAAGCCAAGTACTTCAGTGGGAAAGCAAAAGAGGGGTTCCACAGAGCGACGTTTAAAGAACAGGTCATAGCAGGCAGTACTGGGGTACGTTCTAAGACACCAGCCATGTCCCCCGTACTGCTTACTGTGACTACTGCCTTCCTAACAGATTGGGCCAGGGCCGCCCAGCATACAGCCCTCCCGTACCCGCCACGCCTCTCCTGTTCTAGGCACAAACCCAGGGCCTAGGGAGCATCCGACAAACCTCGAAGCTATGGGAGGTGGTGCTCACAACTTTTCCTCCCAGCTGGGAATGAACCAATCTTTCCATTCAAACCCCCTCCCTCCTTTCAGGCAAAAAAAAAAAAAAAAAAAAAAAAAAGGCCAGCTGCCAGCTGGATCCCCAGTTACACTTGCAAATCTCCTCATGGCCTGGCCACAAGGTTTATCAGGAAACCAGTTAGCAGTTTAAGTCTGGAAATGATGCCACCCAAACACACGCACACTTCGAAGAGAACTTCTGAGCCTGGATCTCGCTAGCAGCACCCCTCCCCCCGCCCCCCTTGTTCCCAAATTCTAGGCACAAATGCCAGGCAACTACTGAGGGAGTGGGTGTTACGTGGGCAGAACAGAGAGGACCAAATCGATGGGACCAGGACAGACAGCTGTTGCTTTTATTGCTTCAATGTCTCCAAGCCCAGGCCCTCAGCTCATCAGTGGTCAGTTCACAATAAGAAGTAAAAACTCACAAACTTCCCACTCAAGCCCAAACCAATTTAGAACAAGGCCTTGTAAGGTTTTTCCCAGGAGATGAGCTGGCGTGCACAGTGCTGAGGTCGTTACCGGTGCCACCAATTACAGATTAGAAACTCTGAATCAACAGCACAGCCTCACCTGTGAGAAACCAAGTAGCCAAGTGTATCTCTTCCCCAGCTCGCTCTCTCACGACCACCTGGCCTCTGCTTCTTAATTTAGACATGACACTCTGACAAGCCTTTGAAACCCAGACCTGGCTTAAAGCAGAATTTCTTGAGATGACATTTGGGGGTGGAGAATTCTTTCTTGGTGGGAAGGGGAAATGCACTAGCGGATGTTTAGTGACTGTCCCTGGCCTCTACACACTTGATGCCATTAGCACCCTCCCCAAAGTTGTGACAGCCAAGCACTGCCTCAGACACTGCCAATAGTAGGGTCAAAGTTATGTCTGCCGGACAAGCACTGATTTGAGTTTCTACCTCCTTAAAAAGATCAGATGCTGCTAAAACCAAGGTGTTGCAGAGTCAAAGAAATAGACCTGGTGCTAAGTCCGGGCGAGGTGGTTCACACCTGTAATCCAGTACTCTGGGAGGCCCAGGTGGGAGGATAACTTGAGGTTAGGAGTTCGAGACCAGCTTGAGCAAGAACGAGATCTCATTTCTACTAAAAATAGAAAAAATTAGCCAGGCGTGGTGGGAGGGCCGGGCACTACCTGGAGGCTGAGGCAGGAGGATCACTTAAACTCAGGAATTTGAGGTTACTGTGAGCTAGACTGACGATACAGCACTCTAGCCAGGGCAATAGAGCAAGACTCTGTCTCAAAAAAAAACAAAAAACAACCCAGATGCTGAAAGACACTTGGGGTTTTCCTAAGGACTTAGGCCCTGGCTGCTGAGTTGTAAGTATATACACATCCATGTACCTGGGATTATCTGTGTTTGGAAAACTAGAAAAATCAGTCCAATACTGTAAGAATGGCCCAGTAGGGACTTTTTTGTATAATTGTACTCACTTTTCTCAAAACTTAAAGCAGGGTTTCTCAACCTCAGCACTACTGGCATTTGGGGCCAGGTAATTCTTGGGAGTGGGGGGCCCTGGAACTGCAGGGTGCTGAGCAGTATCCCTGGCCTCTCCACCTACTATAAGCCAGCAGTGCCCTACCAAGTTGTGACAACCAAAAACGCCCCTAGACATTGTCAATGTCCCCTGGAGGGCAGAAATGGCCCTAGTTGAGACCCCCTGTTCTACGGGAAGATAAATGTCCCCACATCTTTTTGTGTTAAAACGGGAGTGTTTTGACCCTTAGACCAGATAAGATCAGTAGAGACCTACTGGTTTAAAGCACACTGCCTGTTCTCAGGGTGGAAATGCAATAAATATTATCACTATGTGAGAAGAGATGTCCTTTTTGAACAGACCACATTATGAGGGGACAGAAGAGGGTGGGAAGAGGTGTTACTGAGAGGGAGAAAAGAAACATGCAAACAGATGGATGTGTCCAGATAAACAACTGAGATGTTAGAGAACCATGGAAACTATTGCAGAAGAAGGTGGACTACAGCCAGAGGGATTCCTGAGAGGACAACTCAAAACAGAATTGATCAACAGGCCAAGATGACAGCTCTCTGAGTAGGACGTGGCCAGCACAGTACTCCTTTGGGACTGGGCCTCAGAATGTCAAAATAGTAAATTGATCTTAACCACCCGCTTACACTATACTGCGCTTTCCAGGTTTCAAGGCACTTTTTGCAGACTTGAATGCAGGCCATCCTGCCTCCCCAAGAGAGAAAAGGTTCTGGTAGCCGGCCTAAGAGGCCTAGCTAGTTCCTCCACAGGGACAGTCAGCTCAGGACAATATGGGCCACCAGCACAGGCCTTGGTAGGCTGGGGTGAAAAGGGGAGGGCTTCCAGAGACCTGTCTGCGTGAGGGAACAAAATGGCCCGGGAATTCTTCCAAGACCTCTGGAGACGTCTTTTCTACTAGCGAGCAGAGTTCTAAAGTGCTTCAATCAAACGTGGCAGGTCTGATGCCTGCGGGGCAAGGTCTAACTCAGGGCCAGGCCACTTGATCCCATCCTGTTGGGGCAAAGGGTGGTATTCTCAGCAACAACTCGAAAGTTCCTCTGGATTAAATCTCTCTTCCCCTAGGGTTTAGCCATCATCCAGGGTTGAGAGACAGAACCTATATCTATGTCCCTAGACAATCACTAGAGTTATTACTTCTTTCCTTCCAGGAGCAAAAGGTACCAGCTGGGTGTTAGTGGGGATTCATTCCTCCTTCCTTCCACTGGGCCTCTCCAAACTGTGGGTAGAGCCTTGTTTGCCAGCCCAAACATTTCCTAAGATCATGGCTCACCCCTCCGTGGAGTCTACCCACACAAACTCCACACCTAAGGTTCTGAACCTGCAATGTGTGGACTAAGGCTGTGCACGGTGGCTCACGCCTGTAATCCTAGCACCCTGGGAGGCTGAGGCGGGCGGATTGCTCGAGGTCAGGAGTTCGAAACCAGCCTGAGCAAGAGTGAGACTTGTTCTCTACTATAAAAAGAAAAAAATCAATTGGCCCAATAACATATATAGAAAAAATTAGTTGGGCATGGTGGCGCATGCCTGTAGTCCCAGCTACTTGGGAGGCTGAGGCAGTAATATTGCTTGAGCCCAGGAGTTTGAGGTTGCTGTGAGCTAGGCTGACGCCACGGCACTCACTCTAGCCTGGGCAACAAAGTGAGACTCTGTCTCAAAAAAAACAAAACAAAACAATGTGTGGACTAAGAGGATTCAATAAATCTAGGGCCTATTGGATCTGAAATTGTAAACTCTATTTTACATTTACCCAGTTTTCTGGAGAGTGGATCCACATCTTTCACCAGATTCATCAGCAATAAGGCCTGGACTTTCAAAAAAACCCCTATTATCTGTCACATGTAAAATGCATTTAGGCTTGAATCCAGCATTCCGATTCTGGGACTTTGTCCTATAAAACTCATCCCCCGTGAGCAAAGTCACTGGCAATTTAGTCATTGTAGTAATGTTTACAGCAGAAAATTATTGGAAACAATCTCAACATCTATCAATTGACAAATAGTTAAATAAATTAGGATGCACTACATGGAATGAAAAACCATGTACCCATTAAAAAGATCCAAGAAGCTCTAGGAGTATGTTTTAGTGCAATAGTTCTGGGAGATTGGAGGGGCACTGGGTGATGTCTGGGGACATTTGTGGTTGTCACAACTGAGGAGTGCTCCTGGCATGGGGTGGGTGGAGGCCAGGGACGCAGCTCAGCACCCTGCAGCGTCCAGGACAACCACACCCCTGAGAATGATCTGGGACCCAAATGTCAACAGTGCCCAGGGAAAGAATTCCAGCTCCAGTGTGGTCTCCAAGGCGCGTTTAATGAAAAACACAGTACACGAGATTATGTAGAGTGTGCTATCACTATCACTATGTGTACATGTGTTTTTGAAGTTGAGGTGAACACATATCCTTTGCAAAGGGACATAAGGAGTCAGTGACAGTCCCTGTCTCTGGGAAGAGGGACTAGACAGATGCCTGAGCGGCAGAGGTAGGAAACTGACTTTTCACTCTACCCTTTCCACTTTATACCTCATCCGTCAAGCTGTTTTTTTTTAAAAGAACTGTTCTAAACGCAAACTTTCCCTGTCCCTGGACTACCTGGCAAGAGTCCTGTGTCGACAGCCTGGGGACTCGTTTCTTCCCTTTCTCTCCTCCCCATCCCCCAAACTCCGCCTTTGGGAGGGAAGGGAAGGGGGCAAGGGGTCCACGTCCCTGGCCAACCTCTGGGGTCTTCTCTCCTGCTCCGAGGGGCTCTGCTCAGCCTTCTCGAGACTGGAACCCACATGGCGGGCAGGGCCTGGGCTACTCGTAGCCCCCCCACCGCCCGTCCGCCCTCGGCTTTCCCCACCCGGCGGGGGACACGTGCCAACGCCGCCACCTCGGTCCCCTCGGCCCCTTGTCGAACCACGACCGGGGCGGACCCCGACTCCGGGCAGCCTGGGGCCCGTAGCTCGCCCCCCGCCTCGGCGTCCGCTCACCTGGCTCGCCTTGTAGAACTGCTTCTTCAGCCCCGCCACCGACATGCTGCCTCGCGCCGTCGGGCCTCCCGTCCGGACCGAGAGAACCGCAGGGACCGCGCAAGCGACAGTCTCCCGGGCGCCGCCGACCCCCCGCGCACCTCAGCGGCCTCCGTCGGCACCGCCTCCGCCACCCGCTCGCCAGCTCCCGAGCCCGCCCCGACGCCGCCTCAGCCCCGCGCGCCCGCGCGGCCAGGATATTACATGGCAACCGCACACTTCCGGTGCCGGCCCCCGCGCGCGCGCGCCCCGCCCCGGGGCCGTCTGCGCACGCGCGCCCCCTGCCGGCTGAAGAGCGCACGCGCACTCCGCCTGCAACGGGCCCCCGACAGAGAGTTGAGCGGACCGAGCCCTAGAGGGGCCGTAAAGGCTGCAGCGACCCCTGGGGTCCCGGGGAGGCTTTGAAGTCTTAGGAGAAGCCCTTAAATTAAACATGCCTGAGGAGGTTGGAAAAGTTGAAGGGACTCGAAGAGCTCAGGAGGCTAGGCTTACAATTCTCCAGACACCTGTTTGCTCATCTTAGCTAAATCCAGTTCCTCTGTGTGTTCAGTCCCCGCTCCCCCACCCTGTCTTGTGTTCATTCAGTCGTCCAGGTCAGACATCTAGGTGTAGCTTTTTTAATGTTTTAACCACACTACTCTTCTCCAGGTTGTTCCCTCCAATTCATCCCCTGCAAGGCAGCCAGAAAGATGCTTCCAGAACTCAGTTCAGATCACACCAGTTCCCTGCTTAAACTCCACCTGTTGCCCTTAGAATACACTCCAGACTTCACAACATGGCCTCCAAAGCCTACAAAATTTATCCTTGTCAGCTCTTCTGACCTCTGCTCTCTTCCTCTTCTGTAATCCAAGATCCATATTGTCTATGGGACTTTGCTAATGCCATTGCTCTCTGACGCATTCTTCTCCAATCTTTCCCCCTGCTCTTTGTGCATAAAGAGGATGCTGCTTGGAATGAAACTCCCTCCAGGAAGACTTCCCTGATTGATACATGTTTATCAATATTGATTTGTGGATCAACTGTTATTAATTGATCAAAACCATATTGAATGGATTGAAAACTAATAATGAATAGGGATAACTAAATGAATCCAAAAAGAGGAACAAGAAAAGGACTAAAGCTAAAGTGCTTGGAACTTCAAGGTTGAAATTGCTGACAGATTTGATTGATTTTCTGAAGATGATTGCTGGAAGTTTCCAAATGCCGCAACAGAAGGTAGCAGACTAGGTCAATCAGAGGGTTGAGCAGAATAAATATGCCCCAACCCCAACCTCGCACTCCAAGATATAAATAGGGCTGTTATGAATAGTTTGAAAAAGTGGCTGTGTGCCTCAGTTACACACCTTCAACTGTGATTCAGTGGTGCAAATCATGGCAGAATTCCTGAATGTCAGAGAAGGGAGGGAAAACATCCTTATGGATCAGACAGGGAAACTGAGGCATTGGATAATGACATGACTTGCCCAAAGTGATGTCCCCAAATTTTCTATTTCTCCACACTTCTCCCAACCAATTCTACTGATCTAATTTTCTAACCTACCTCATTAGAATTCCAAACTTGGGCTAAATTCCAATGTATCTCCTCACCTCTACTCCTGAGAGATTAAATTGGGGAAGGAGGAAGCTATTTCTAAACACATAGGCTGACACCGAAGGTTTGCTTTGTGCGAGGCTTTTAAAACAATTGATTGAACAGGGCTACACGATTCAATCAAATGATATTTATGCATTCACTAACATATTTATTGAACTAATATAATAGTTACTGACAGATCCTGGGATCTAGTGACGAATGATTCCTGGCCTCATGAAGCTAATGACAAAAACAAATTAATTCATTAGTTAAATAACACACAAATAGATACAGCTGTAATTGCTTCAAGGAAAAAAAAGTGTTGTAGGCACTTGATGCTGTTAGGGTTGAGGAGGAAAGGCTTGAATTGTCGATCTAAGATCTAAAAAATAGGTAGAAATTAGCCAGGAAAAGAGCTGCGAAAAGATTGTTCTAGGCAGAGAAAACATGCGCAAATTTCCTGGGGATTAAACCAAAAACCAACCATTTATTCATTCACTCTGGATATATTTCTTGCACGTCAAATGCTTCAGAAGCGCCACCCAGACTTTATTTTGTTGTTCATATAGAAGACAACTTATAATTTTTAATTGTTGTTGATATATTCAACCAATGTCCCTCCCATTAGAATAAACTCAAAACTTCAGAGTCCTTATCTAATCCCAGTTCCATACCGTCATCCAGTGACGTAAGAGCCTGCCGCCCCCTCCTTCTACAGACTATCCCACGCGCTCAGCCAATCGCAGTGCCTAGCTCTCAGCTTGACACCTCCCTCTCCCAATCGCAGGCCATCTCCTCACAGCCAATGACGGGGCCGGGGGGAAGCCCCGCCTCCCCGCGGGAATATCTATAGGGGAGCCATGGGAGGAATGGAAGCCACGGTTCTCGCGAGGATGTTCCCGTCGCTCCGCTCTTCCCGAGGCGGGGTGTCACGTGATGTGCTCTCGCCCAATCGGCGCGCGGGCTACGGGGGTCGCCGCGGTTCCCGCCAAATACGAGCGCGGCGGCCGCGGCAGCAGCGGCGCGGGCGGGAGGGCGATCAGCAGTGGCCGCCGGAGCGGAGCCCGCGCCTCCGCCGCCTGCGGGGAGTTCGAGCCGCCGCCGGGGCGATGCTGGAAGAGCCGGAGTGCGCGGCGCCGGGCGCCAGGGGAGGGGCCGTAGGTCGGTTCGGGCTCGCGCCAAGGGAAAGGGGGGGCGCGGCGCGCGGCCTGTGCGGCCCGAGGCGGCGGTTGGGGGCGGACGGGCCTCCCGGCCCCGGGCCTACTTCCTCGGGCCGGGCATTCGGTCCCTGGGGCCTTACAATTCCGAGCCAGGGGCCTGCGTCCCAAAGGACGCTCTCCTTGACGTTATTGTTGGGGTTGCGACCATATTTTTTTTTTCCGACGCGTTTGCCCTTCCCAGGGCCCTCTGGAGTGACGGGCCGGTGAGGCCAAGAGGGGAAACTGAGGCCCGGGGAGGCGAAAGGGCTGACTCTGCAGGTTACCGAGTGCGTTTGTGTCTCTTGACCAAGTTGGATGTTGCAGCGGGTGGGGAAACTGAGGCCCGAGGTCACACGGGCTTGGGGACCAGAACAGCTGCGTCTGCGGGTCGAGGCAAGCTCAGGTAAGAGGCCTAGATGATAGGGATTGGCAGGGAACTGGGACTCCCAAGTTCTTCCTCCTGCCCGATGACGCAAGGTGACTTTCTCCTTTCTGTGTCTTGGAAGGGGGCTTTATAGCACACAGAAGGGGTTCTCAAAACGTGGGATGGTGGGCCAAGGGAGACCAGACTGCATCCTCCCCTGCTTGAGTCTCCATTACATCCCCAGCACTTGGCACCTAGTGGGTGCCTGATAAATGCGTGAATGAGTTAAGCACTATAATGGACATTAACCAGTCTAGTCCGAGGTTTCTCAAACTCAGCACTATTGACATGGGAAACTGCCCTGGGCAATGTAGGATGCTGTGCAGCATCCCTGGCCTCTACCCACTACAGCCAGTAGCAACCCCTTTCCCCAAGGCATGACAACCAAATATATCAATGCCAAATGTCCCCTAGACAACAGAACCCCACTCCCTGGTTGAGAACCATTGCTCTAGTTGCTTCTAGACTTTGGGATTTCACAGAGACATAAAATTATAATGATACAAATAAGTTGGGACTGTCATGGAGCTATAATATTTTATTCAAGTTAGGATGTTTAACTTTTGTTTTGTTGTTTTTAAAAAACCCACTTGCTATGACCATATATTATAAAAAGAAAGGCTTTTTTAATTAAATAAAATTGGAAAAGATGTAATCTCAGAATAAAGAGAAATTGGTAACTTTCTACACACGTGTATTGTGTGTGTACCTTTGGACAGTCCAGATCCGGGGTGGGGGGAGTTGGGGGGTGTCCTTTTTTATGTAGACCTGAGGTCATTTCTGTTCCACTTGCATCAAAACTAGTGACTCAGGGCCACACTAATAAATCCTTGTGGTTGTCCTGAAAATAAATTTATATGGTTAAGATTACATAACCTTCAGTTGAGAGGAGGGGAAATCCATGTTTTTTGGTAACTGAAAACCAGAGAATGACAGCGTCTTCATTCCCTTGAAAGAGGTAGAAAAGGAATGTGAATCTTCTAACTTTTATTCTCTGAGCTTGGGGTGGGGGGCAGTTTCCTCTTGGGTAGCTGAGTTTTTTTAGAACGCTCCAGTCTGCTTTTTTAAAATACTCACTTTTATATGTAGCTTTTACACAAAATTCTTAGATTAGCCAAGATACCTAGATTTTTCCGAGCCAGATCTCCTAGCATGTATGAGCTTCTAAAGTTATTCTATTTAAAGATATTTATCCAAAGACTTGATTCTAAGGGTACAGATTTGGTGATGATGTGAGGGGCTCGGTCAGAGGAGGGTGTTTTGAGACCATGTTCACAGTGAAATAGGTAATCTGGTGTTTTCTCTCATCTCTACTTTTACTCATTCTATTTTTCATTGTTCCTATTACTCTATTCATTGGCTTCGTGGTATATTCCAGACCCTGAGTTGAATGTTGTAGCTATGCTAGGGAACAAGTCTCTGGTATCAGAGCTCAAATTCTGTTTGGGGGGACGGGGGGAGACATAATAAACACAAAAGTTTCAAAGTGCCACAAAGAAAATAAAACAAGATGTGACAGTCTAGGGTGTGATTTTCTCAACCTATGGATGTCTTGGACCAAATAATTGTCATAGAGGGCTGTTCTGTGCATTGTAGGTATGTAGCAGTATCCCTGGCCTCCAACCCCTGGAGGTGAGTAGCACCCCTTTGAGCCATACCCTGTCATGACAACCAAAAATATCTCTAGACATTGCCAGATGTTTCCCAGAGGGGGCTGAAAGGTTAAAATCACCCCCACTTGAGAACCACCTTGGACATAGTTGGCTTTGCATATATATTTGCTGACTCTATTATAACTTAACCTTTGACACTTTTATTCACAGCCATGGATTGCAAAGACAGACCAGCTTTTCCAGTTAAGAAGTTAATACAAGGTAACTCTCTGGAATTGGGCTAAAGAATTGTTCCTAATTTAATTCGTTCATTGCATCCTGTTGGGGTCCTCAGTGACAGCCTCAGAAGGGACCAGAGAGGAGAGAAAAATAGTCACTCCTCATACCAGGAAGCTGGTAGACCCATTTT